ACACACACACACACACACACACACACACACACACACACACACACAAAAATGAAATGTGTAAAAACAGTGGGTTGGCTAATCCTTGTGCCACAGGATCAGCTGAAGCTGAAATTTCACTAGTACCCATTCTCCTCCTGAGCGCAAAGAAACACCATGCTACCATTTGTAATTTTATAAACAGGAATATTAAAAGCCTTTCAGCTTTGCTTCCTGCAGGTGATTCTACCCAGATAAATATCACTGCCTGTTGGAGCAGCAATGGGAGGAAAAAATGAAAGGGAATTTCTTTTTTCCAAGACACACTGAGCCTTGAAATGTATTCAGGTTCAAAATGTGCAACAGGAGCAGCACATTTTCTCTAAAGCTGCTTCTTTTGTGAGTGCCTCCCACTGGCACTGTGACAAGCCAGAGCAGCAGTGCGGGGAGAAACACTCAATAGGATTTCCTTGTCGGAACAGAGGCAGGAGGCAAAAAATGAAAGAACTGTGGGCACTTGCTCTTGGGCAAGGAAAATTAACACCGGAAGAATCAGACTGATGCCCCAAATGTGCCAGGTGACAGATGCTGAAAATGGGATATTTTCTACGTTACAATATATAGCGGGGTGGGCAAACTTTTTGGCCCGAGGTTGCAAACCTGTATGGAGGGCTGGGTAGGGAAGGGTGTGCCTCTCCAAACAGCCTGGCCCCCACCCCCTATCTGCCCCCTCCCACTTCCCGCCCCCTGACTATCCCCCACAGAATCCCCAACCCATCCAACCCTCCTGCTCCTTGTCCCCTGACCGCCCCCTCCCGGGACTCACGCTCCCTATCCAACTCCCCTGCTCCCTGTCCCCTGACTGCCCCGACCCCTATCCACACCCCCGCCACCTGACAGCCCCCCAGGACTCCCACCCCCTATCCAACTGCCCTCTGCTCCTCATCCCCTGACCACCCCCTCCCGGGACCCCCCGCCCCTAACTGCCTTCCCGGAACCTCCGCTCCCTATCCAACCCCCCTGCTCCCTGTCCCCTGACTGCCCTCCCAACCGGGACTCACGCTCCCTATCCAACCCCCCTGCTCCCTGTCCCCTGACTGCCCTCCCAACCGGGACTCACGCTCCCTATC